CTTTTCTGAGCAAGGCTGGAAAGCATCTTCTGTCAGAAAGCAGCTGCTTTCAGAGGCCTTTGTAGGCCTGAAGTGGAATGTGCTGGAGCCTGGAAGTTGCTACCAAGTGCTCTGCATGAGTTTATGGCACTACATGGGTCTGGAAACAGTCCACAAGCATGAGCTCTGTTGTGTATTGTCACCATCTAGATAGCAGGTCTTAGCAGGCTTCATGCTCCACTTCCCCTCCTCACAGAAGTGGCATCCAGCATCCTCATGGTACAGAGGGCTCCTCACCCTGCAGTTCCCCCTTAGGCCTCACACCTTCTGCCAAAGATGGGAGTAACCTGGTGGGCACACAGCAGCCCTCACCTGAGCTCCCCCATCCTGCCTGCTACCTCCACACCTAAGCCAAGCTTCATCCCAGGAGCTCACCAGTGTTCACAGCTTCAAGCATTAGTCACCCCCAGGGAAAACCTTCCCCTTTCAGAGCAGATGAATGAGCAGCTCAGGTCTCTGGGGACTGGCTAGGCAAGCAGAGAGCTTCCCCGTGGCCTGGGAGCAAGGACCCAAGCCGGCCTGGCAACAGAGTGAAGTAAATTTGCTCAGCCAGGATCTTCTGCAGGTAGCAATGGCTCGGGATCGGCCAGGAGGAGGGGCCTGCTTCTCCAAACTGCCATCAGTGAGAGAATGGCAGCATTGTTAGCTGTGACTGATTGTCTGAGTATCCCCAGCCATAGACAGTAGGCAAGCGCCCCTTCCCAGAGGCATTCACCAGGGAGTCCAGTGAATGCTTTGGAAGGAACAGGAGGGAGGTAACAACTCGTCTCCCCAAACTCGCAGTGCTCCAGCCTCTGTGTTGCTGGCACCACTTGGAAACCAAGCAGAGGGGAATTTCGCCCTTAACCCCTCTCCCCCACCTCATATTGGCGAAGGAGGAATCTGCTATTGTGGCAGGAGTGAAATCAACTCCCCGGGATGAAAGGGTGCATTGTGTTTCCCCTCTGTATCCCACCCCTGCCCCCAGCTCCTTGCCCTGGCCTGAAATCTGGAAAGAGGCTTTACAAGTTCCACTTCAATATTTCAGACGGCGAGGATGGATTTCGCAGCTCAGCGCTAGGTAAACAGACCTCGCTTAAGCCTGGACTGCTTCATTTTGACTAAACCCTAACTAAATAAGCCAACTTCATGAAGCACCGGCCTCCCAGCTTTCAAGGGTGCCTTGCTCCTTGCTTCATTAACACCTTTTAATCCTGTCAGGACAATCTCATATGCTCCAAATTACCCTTCCCAGGCCTGGGTCAGGATTGTCCGTGCCAGCACAACTAGTCAGAGAAGTTCTCTAGAACTTGCCGCTCAGCCCACGGGAGCTGCTGGGAGGGGCAGTGCCTGAGCCCTCTGTCTGCCTACAGTCTTCTGCAGTGCATTCTGCACAGACAGCAGAGCCCCGGGCAGCAACGCGGCCAGCTCTGCAGGGTTGAATGGCTGTGTTGGCAGCCATGGTATTACCAGCTCGAGTCTGCTAGTGGCCGAAAGCCAGTGAAACAACAGAAAGCAGACAGAGCACAAGACAAACCCATTCGTGTATTGGCCGGGGGGGTCTGAGCCACATCACATGTGGGTTGTCTTCATGGGAAGCTGCATGCTGCCTGAGCCCAAAGGTGCATTTGAACCTCCATTCTAATGCTCCTGTCCCCCTGCCTGGGAAGCCGCGGGGCCAGGAAGTGTATGTTGCTGTCCAGGGATCCTCATGGGGCCAGCGTCAGTCATAGCAGGCAGCTCTGACCATCTGACACTGTTCTGCACCCTAGGACAGAAACAACCTGGTTGTGAAACCAGCAGGCACCATGATCAGCCTTGCTTACTGTCTCAGCAGTGAAGGGGCCATGCAGTCTAACCTCGGTGTGGTGCTTCTAGGAGAGGGGCGCATGTGTTGGTAGAGGGGGTGTGAGGGTTTGGAAGCCCTCCATGATGCTTCTGTCTTTGGCACAGGGAGCTCCCAGGTGCTGGGTGGCTAGCCCAGCATCTTTGCTGGTGCTAAGCAGCTAAGGTCACCTCCACCACTGAACCTGGAACCCAGTTAGTGTCGGCCGTCTCCCCTCATGTGTTTTCCGTGGGCCGATGTTTTCAGACATCGTGTCACCGTGCTCCCGACGCAGCCTCCCATCTCCCCTTGCAGCCCACTGGCGGCAATGGAGATGTATTCTGTTTCTATGGCAACCCAAACAATATTACCTTGACTTAAACGGATTCGGGCGATATTAAAACCAGCCTCTTTAGGAATTCCTGGTGTTGCCGGGGCTGAGAATTTTAATTTTGTGTAATGCGAGCTGACACCGTGTTTATGAGCTGCTTGCTGAATGTTTTCTTCAATTAGTACAAAGCAGCACGGATTTGTTTTCGGGGCTTAGCTGGGAGACAGAGGGTGCGGGGCTTGTGGTGCCAAGGCGTTATTGAGTTAGGTCGCAGCATCCTTCTCTGGGCAGCATCCGAGAAGCCCTTCCAGGAGCAATCCAGGCAAGATTGCTGGCATATGACAGAGTGCTTTAACAACACTTGCCAACCTCCTTGTCCAGAGCAGGAGGATAAACAGGCTAGCTGGCCTGCGGACAAGCAGGCCTCTTCTGCCAGCTCGAACATGTGCCTCAGGCACTGTCTCCAGGTCTTCTATCAGGTCCTGTGACTCATAGGGCCAGGAGGGGGAGAGGTGTCCCATTCGTGCCAGCTACAGAGCCTTGCTCCTTGCTCTGACCCAGTCAGGATAGCCCAGGACACTACCAGGCTAGTGCCTTGGCCAGAGATGCCCACCTTCCTGATACTTCTGCTTCCAGTTTTATGCCTCTGTTCTGTAGCCCAAAGCCACAGGCTGGGCCCAAAGCCACAGGCTGGGTGAGAAGTTCCCAGGTTTGAGGACACAGGTGGCTGCAGCCACTGCTTCCAGGAACAGGAACCAGCTGAGACCTGCCATCAGCTTGGACTGGCCAAAGCGTCTTCATTCTGGGTAGATCAGGACTTAAGTGCATCACGGGGAAAAATTAACCTAGCCTATCATCTGGTGGTTGATTCTCTATGGCCAGGATGGTTCAAACATGTGGACTGGAAGCCAGGAGTGCAGGCACCTGCAGGGACATGTGCTCTTGCTTCCTGTACTTGCTATGATTCACCCTAACTACTCTGTAGTAAATGAAAGCTCCACCAGGTCCAGTGCCTGGCACTGGAATGAGAGAGGTGTGATTGGGAAGTCAGTCATTAGCTGGGAATTAGCCATTAGTCTTTGAATTCTCCACTGTGTGGAGTCTTTGCAAGGCCACCTGACTTGTCCTAGGAGAGATGCTCCAGCCTTTTGGCAGGGAGTTGGTCAGTGCTGGAATCCCACACCAGGGAGGTCAGACTGGGTGATTGCTGTGTAACCTCTGGGGCTTTGGGTGTAGGAACATAAATAATCCCTGACTCAGCAGCAAGGCATAGGCCTATAACTGAGTCCAGGTAATAGAAGGGACTGTGCTTTCCTTTCCCCTCTGGTTGTAGTGCTGGGTGTCAGTGTCAGGCTGAGGGCACAGATTCACCGTGACTCACCTTGGAGGTCTGTGCAAGGAACTCAGACTAAGGGGAGTGGGCATGAGGATGAGTCTGAGTTTGAAATACCTGATTCCATGATTGCAGCATCCTTTACACTGAACCTTTTCCATCTCAGACTCAATTAAAAATTAAACATGAATTGCAAAAAGACAAAGAGAGGGGAGAGCCCGAGAAAGACAGAGAGGCATGCACACACACATGCATGCATACAGAAGAGGGGTGAGAGATCCCACGCGACTCCAGTTGGAATGTCCCAGGCACTAGAGGCGGGAGCCATTGCTCCAGCACAAATCCATGGTGGTATTTGGAAGGGATGAGCCCTCCCCTGTAATCCTCTTCATCCCGCTCTGCAGAGTTTGCCAGGAGGATTAACCCAGTCTTGTTCTCAATCCCAGTTTATGAGTTCCCTGCTGGTGGGGAAGATCCTGTGTGTTTAAACAACAGCCTAATTAATCCCCATTTTATTACTTTCTCTTGTCAAGTGGCTAAATAGAAGCTGTCAGCCGGCAGCCACCGTGCTCACATTTGTTTAGATCCCAAATTACTTCATCAGAACCATCTGCTGTGAACGCAGGGCGCTCAGCAAATGTGGGTTTCTCTCTCTGGATGCTGTCTGGGGCACATACAGCCTCTCCCCTGTGGCTTTCTCTGCCAGGAGAGTGTTCAGCCCTCGGGGACTTGGTCATTAGAGTGGTTTAGTGGTCTGGGAGGAAGTCTGGCTGGCTGGGCAGGCTCTTGGTTCTGTGCCCAGAAAGGTGCTGCCCCATCTAGGAGAGAAACCCAGGGCTCTAAGTCACTGGTGGGGCAGGCCCTGTTCCTCACAGGAACCACAGAAACTGGGAGGGAACCAAGAGAAAGGCAGCACAGGGCAGGGACAGCAGTGACCTGAGCTAAAGACCAGCTGCAGTCCCAGAAAGCATGTGTTGTTCAGGTGGACATCTTAAACTCCATTTCGTCTTGGCACCCTGGGGCTGTTAGTTTTCTGCCTCTCCTGTCTTGCTTTGGGCCACCATGCTCAGCTCAGTTGTGGGAGCCTTTCCCAGTCCGCTGGGAACCCAGACGCCCTACATCTGCCCTAGCTGCCAACTTCAACGCTGATGCTGTGCTGTGGGAATGCCAGCTTGGGGTAGGGGGAGCAGCCATTACTCCTCCATGCCTGATGCATTGCCCTGGCCATGGTGGCTCCTCCCCTCCGCCCCCACAGCCAGAACCCTTCTGCTGCCCCATTTCCACCCACCAACCTCAGCTCCAGTACCCTCCATGCCCTAACAGAGCCCCAGGCCAATCCCTTGCTGAGCCTTTACCAGCCGCAGTGCCTTCTAAGCCTAGTCTCTACCCCCTTCCCCATGCCACCTGAGCCTCCCCTCTCCTACACCTACCCCTACCCCATCCCAAATCCCAACTCTGTTGCCTGATGGCCTGTTTCTTCCCTGGCTGCGCAGGCTGTTCCAGACGAAGTGCAGCAGCTGCCTGAAGGCTATTGCCCCATCCGAGTTCATCATGCGGGTGCTGGAGAATGTCTACCATGTCCACTGCTTCTACTGCTGCGAGTGCGAGCGGCGCCTGCAGCGTGGGGACGAGTTTGTGCTCAAGGAGGGGCAGCTGCTATGCCGCAGTGACTACGAGAAGGAGAAGGAGATGCTGAGCGCCATCAGCCCCGCGCCCACTGAGTCTGGTGAGGGGGCTGGGCAGGGAAGAGCAGGTAGGGGCATGGGCAAGGGAAGGGGCTGTGTGTCAAGAGACATGAGCAAGGCAAGAAGTGCCCAGGGCTTAAGTGCTTCATCTGTCCTTCTTATAGAGCATCCTTCCCCAGGGTGCTGAGACAGGAAAAGGAGCTGGGGCTTAAGTCTGAGTGGTGAGGAGTGGGAAGGGGAGTGAGCCAGTTGGGCCCCAATCCTGTCTAGGCAGAGGAGGAGTTCCAGGTTAGAAATGGACAGCTCTGTGCACAGAGCAGTCATGGTTATGGCCTTTGCTGCATCTGGGGGGATCCAGCGCCCATGCAGTTCCTGGCTTCACAGGCCCAGGAACGGAGCCAAGAAGGCTGGGGCCTGGCCAAGCTGGGGCAGTAACTGCGATTGCTTCCCCGTGCAGTGAAAAGCGAGGATGAGGATGGCAGCCACCCGCATGGCAAAGGCGGCGATGAAGGCAAGGACCACAAGCGCTCCAAGCGCCCGCGCACTATCCTCACCACCCAGCAGCGACGAGCATTTAAAGCCTCCTTTGAGGTCTCCTCTAAGCCCTGCAGAAAGGTACAAGGATCAGAGACGCCTTCTCCTCCACCCCAGGCATGGCCTGCAGCCCAGAGTTTGTGCTGGGAGGGCCCTCACACCGCTGTCTTTGTGGCCAGATGGCACTGGGCCTCATGTCCTGTCTCTGCCTGGTACCTGGGGATGAGACACTCAGCCATGCTGCCTGAAGGGTCCAGGGCAGGGCCTGGGGAGCTTTGCTCCAGAAGGAGCTACCAAGTCCCCTTGGGACAGGGCATGGGCTGAGCAGCAGCACAGCACCCCAACAACAGCCATGTGCCAAGATTCTGGGCTCATCACATGTGGAAACAAACCCGTCATGAAGGGGTTTTCCTCAGCCAGACCCTTTGCAATGTAACCAGGTCCTGACCTGAATTCTCCTCCCTCTCTGGCTGATAGGTGAGAGAGACCCTTGCGGCTGAGACCGGCCTGACCGTCCGAGTAGTGCAAGTCTGGTTTCAGAATCAGAGAGCCAAGGTGAGTGGTGCCCGCCCCCATCCCACTCGGCATGTGCTGTGCAGGAGTCAAGGACACCACAACCCACTCTGAGCGGAAGGGAACAGCCCCACTGCTCAGAACTGGAGAAGCAGTGATGGGCAGCTCCCCTCCTGGAGGGGCCAGGGTTCTTCAGGAGATCATGTTCCAAATGCCTAATTTTTTTGTTTTCTACTATTTTCTTCCACTGGGTGAAATCTCAACATGATCCCCTGAGGTGGGGGGAAGAGGCATTGTCCCACTTTCTCCCTTTCCCACCCTGTAACATCTCGGATGTCCCACTTGGGACAAGTGACAAAGTAAAAACAGGAGATAATTGCAGCTGGAAACTGAAAGATGATTTCCTGGGATGATTTCCTTTGAAAGACTCTCCTGAAGGCAGCAGAAAAAACCACAAATCATTTGTGACTCACCCCCATTCTTGCTGGGAAATTCCCACTGCTTCTTGCAGATGAAAAAGATCGCACGCAGGCAGCAGCAACAGCAGCAGCAGCAGCAGGAGCAGGATCAGCTGGGCAATCCGCGCTTGGGGACAGGCCGTGGCACAGGCCGCAGCAGCCGGCAGAGCAACGATGACAGTGAAGGTGAGGATGGGTGGGAAGCCCACAGGAGGGGCCAGGCTGGTGTCCTCAGGGCTGTGAGGAGAGAAGGGAACCTCGGCCTGGCAGCACTGGAGCAAGGCTGCAGGCTAGCATGGAGGGCAGCATAGTGTATATAGGTCAAGGGGATGCAGGGAAGGGGTCAGTTATCATTGCAGAACAGCCTCTGCACTGTATGTTTGAGGTCAGCTGCTTCTGACCAGACAACAGGGGCTCAACTCTTTTGCCAGCAGGTGAATTAGGATTTCCGCCCGGTTACCTGCTAAACAGCACATCTGCTGTTAACCCAGAGCAGCAGAGACACCATCCCCTCCTGCTTCTCCTGGCAGATGGTGCTGCCTTTCACTGCCTGCTTGTTCAGCTCCTGATGACAGTCCCTGGGGATATCCACAGCGTCCTGGGTATATAGCTGTAGTGCTGAATGCAAAGGGCAAAGCCCATCATCACATCCTGTCCTGCTTCTTCATCCTGTTCCCTTGATTGCTCATTAGATGGCGCAAGTGTTCATGGACTGGACGGGCTCATGGTCCCCTATCCCCGGATCCCCCAGCAGCAGCTGCTGCCCCTGGATCAGAACAGCTACAGCACAGACTTATACAGACAAGGGCTCACACCGCCCCAGCTGCCAGGAGACCATCTACATCCCTATGGTAAGGGGCTGGCCAGGAGGCTGGTGCGGCTCTGTGGCAAAGCTGCATCTGATGCCTGCCAGCCAGAGCTGGCAGCAGGAAGAAATGCGAGGCAAGCTGTGGTGGCTTGGCAGGGCAGTGGGCTGGGACAGGGGTGCTGTGGGTCTCATGTGTGCATCATTTAGAGTTGTGCTGAGAGCCTCCTGGGATACAGGTCCAGGAAGTGAAGCTGGTAATGCCCATCACCCTGGTGTGGTGCTGTCCATTCCGAGGCTAGGATGCTCTAGTTGGGGCTGGTCCTGCTTTGAGCAGGGGGTTGGACTAGACGACCTCCTGAGGTCCCTTCCAACCCTCATTTTCTATGATTCTACGTGGGGTGAAATGCACAGGCAGCCTGAGGCTGGGGTGTTCTGTCACTGGGCAGTACATGCTGCAAAGCTGAGGATCCTGTTGCCCCTGGGCTTGACTTATGGCCCCTCACTCTGATCAGGGCACAACACAGGACATGGGGACCTCATGTGTGACAGCTATTCCTCCCATTGCAGCTGGGAGCAGGTTTTAAGTGTTTTGCGCTGGGCCCTAACCCATATGAGGGCTCAGAGGTCAAGGCAGAGGGTCTATGGGTGATGTAGTCCTGGCCACCAGAAAGAGGGGCTAGGGAAACAAAGGACTGGGGGTGTAGGCTTGCCTGGGGGGGGGAGTGGCCAGGGGGCCCTCACTGGGGGAAGGGCACCTAGGCCTCATGCTGGGCCCTACCTGGGCCAAGCTGCACCCAGCCTGAGCAGTGGCACAGTTCCTGTTCCCACTCATTCTGTGCGCCACAAGCTGGTGGGGGGCAGTCCTGCAGCCCTAGCCACCTGGGCAGGCATTGGCTCCTCCTTCACTTTGCTCCCTCCCTCCCCCAGATTCAGAAGGCGTTTTCCATGACATGGACAGTGACAGCATCGGCCACTTGGGTGACTGCCTGCTGTCGACGGCCGAGGCCAGCCTCCTCCAGGCGCGCGTGGGGAACCCCATTGACCGGCTCTACTCCATGCAGAGCTCCTACTTCACCTCCTGACCGCGGAGCAGCTCCTGGCACCCGTGTGTGTCTCGGACCAAGGCTGCTCTGATTTCAGGTGGCAGGGGTGGGGGTGGGGGCAGGAAAGACGAAGCAGAGCCCTGCAGAGGAGCTCCCTGAACCCTGCGCAGTGCAAGGAGGCGACTGGGTTTCCAAGCATGTGAGCACTAATTCAGGGGCATCTGCAGCAGCCTGGAGGACTTCTCTGCATTGCCTCTCTCCTCCCTTTCTCTCGTCCCACGTAGATGGATGGTACAATGTTGTTTAGCTGTAACCGTAGCAGTTGTCAAGTGTTTAAGCGTCTGAGCATCACGTCCTTCAAAGACTGGCCTGGTTGCCCAGATGTGTTCTTGGAAGCAGCCAGCTCCTCTGTCCTGCCACCCATGTTTGCTCAAACCCCAGCACTGATAGACCTTGGCAGCACCCTTGTGGCCTGGCTCCTGGGATTCCATTCAGGCAGACCAAAGACTTGGGATGACTGACTGACACCACTGTCATTTTGGAGGCTGCCTTCATGGGCCCATGTCAGTTGGCACAGGAAGCATTTCAGTGACTGGGAGGAACAGAGGACAGGCCAGTATGGAAGGAAAGCTCTGTGCTTAGGGGTCCATCCACCTCCGTGAACAAGGGTAGACTCATCTCCTGGTACTACGCAATGATGCTGGGGCCACCATGCCTGAAAGGAGCATCTCTGTGGTCCATCTGCCTGGAGGCCCTCTTTTTGCCATAGGTTTCACCCCGTCCCTTTCTAGGTGGTGAAAACTTGTAAAACAGCAGTCACCAGCATGCCTGATTCCCAGAGCAGCAGACCCAGCAGGGAGGGTTGTGCTGCAGCTGCCAGGGAGCTGGGCGTGCTGATGTCTTGGTACGTGCTGTCTTGGTTCCAAAGCCACCCAGCCTAGTTTCCCCAATGCATAAAACACTCCTCCATGAGGAAGAAGTCACTGAAGGCTGTCCCTGCCACAGATCTGAGGGAAGCCACCCAGGCACATCAACAACCCAGAACCGTAGACCTGCTGCTAGCTCCCTTTGCTATGCCAGGAATTCCCCATCTTCTCAAGGAGCTCATGGAGGCAGCCTGTCACCAGGGATGCAGAACTACAGCCCTTACACAGCTCACACTCCCATTGCTTGCCTGTGAATGAAGCTGTACAAACATCCCACAGTGACCAGCAGCTGTTGCTCACTCATTTATAAAGCCAGACTCTATCTGAACCATCCCTTGGTCCCAGTGTCAGATGGTTTTTTCCCCTTAAGGCGACTCTGTAAATAGGTGATAAACACTTTGTTGTTTCTTTTAGGGGGAGAATCCTGTCCCTGGTAACTGACAACATGTGAGTTACCTCCATCTGAGCAGGCCAGTTCTAAAGGAAGGTTTTACCCATCCACTCCACACCCCATGGCTGCCGTTCCCACCTCTGCCATGTGTCTGTCCACCCATAAGAAACGAGACTGAAACCTCCCAGAGCTGCGTGTTTGTTTCTTTTGGTGGCTTTTTGCACTAGAGATGGTCTCGGTTTAGATTGTTTTGAGAGAATGTTTCAGTGAACCATGTGCCAATGTGTGTGTTTCCTCCAAACACTGGAACCAGCTTCACCCACAGAAATCCCGCCCTCGCGCTCATTGTGACCCAGTGCTGTGATGTGCCAGTGGTTTTGCATGCACATTTGGAAATAAAAACAAACTTAAAGCTGAAGTCTAAAAGCTGCCTGAGCACAGTCGGACAATCCACGCCCTCACTTAGCTCAGGACAGATCTGAGCCATGTACAAACATATAATTTACGTGGGTGAGTGTGTAAATAAGTAGGCTAGACATGGAACCAGCAGTGCTAGGTAGTCCACTGAAAGTGAATGACTTAATGAGCTTAAGAACCAATGCTTAGATTCACTTGCCATAATTAAGGAAGGAGACTGCTGCCAATAAGGCTGATCTCCAATTACAGGAGCCAGCAGGATTGTTGCACCCAGGCAGAACTTGAGTTAGCGAGGAATCAGGAAGGTACTAGTTGGTCCCTAGCTACCGGAACAGCCCAGCAAGTCCTGCTGCAGCTCTGATCTCAGCATTGCTTTGATGCACAGAGATGCTGTTAGCATCAGCAGTGTGGCCAGGTGCTGGGGCCCAGTGGCTGTAGATGCATATGCTCCTGGTGTGTTTTGTGGTGGAAAACCCTGTGCTCTCATATTGAGTCACTGTCAGGGCAGCCCCTGCTGTAAAATGTGTTTCTGTGGAGGAGGCTCCTAGACCATAGTGTGGCGAGCTCTCACTGTTCCTGTAGGCCAATGTCCCTGCCTCCATAGAAGCAGCTGCTAAGGCTGTAGTTTCAGAGCCAGGAATGGAGTCCATTGCACCTGGCCCAGGGCTGCTTCCTCTTGCCCTCTGTAAAGGGGCAGGTTGGTGGGAAAGGTCTCCATCCAGACCAGAGGCAGGACCAGTTCTCTGGCCAGACAGGGATGGCAAGATTCTTGCCCAGGGGCACAGCCTGTCTGCCCATTTGCTAGCAGCACTCTGCTCACAGCTCTCTGATGCCCAGATATGTTTTTCTTCTACATCTCTAGCAACAACACTTTAAAGGAGTCAGCTGACCAGGAGACAAGAGCACTCCCCTCCATCCACCCAGCCTCCCTCATCCCTGGAAGTGACCCGATGTCAGCTGGAGGGGTGCCAAGTTAAGCAACTGTGTGTGTGAATGGAATGTGGTTCTGTGCTGTGCTCTGCCCTCTGCCACTGCCCGGTTCAGATCTGGGCCTGCCAGCAGCACTAAATCTCCCTTGGCAAGTGCCAACACCAAAGGAACATGCTGATTTATAGCTCCTTTAAGTAAGAGAAGCAGAGTGGAAAACAAGAGCATTTTCTGGATGAAAAATTAAAGGGATGCTTTTGTTAGTTCCTCATTCTGGGCTCATGTGTAATTCACTGTATTGGTTTTCAAGTTCCGCTTGAGAGGAAACGAGCCTGAAACCAAAGTCAAAGCAACAGGCTGCAAAATTGCCAGCACACTTCAGTTTCTATTTGGAATTGTCTGCACCAAAAGGAAACAGAAAAACAGAGCAAGGAATTTGCTGGAGGAATGGGGGAATAAAGATGAATAAAGCAGGGCACAAGTCATGCAGTCAGCCAGAGGCAGAGCTGGGAGCAGAACCCAGGAGTCCTGGTACCCGCAGTTGTGACTGCCCAGCTCAAAGGGAGAATGCTGCAGGGTAATAAACCCAGAGCAAGAATGTGAGAGACTGGTCTGTAATGAACCTGGGAATTCTCCAAAAGGACCTCAAAATGGGGCTTCTGGACGCCTACCCCAGGATGCTACAGTGTTTGAGTCTCGTGTTGGTCTGTTCTCTGCTCACGATGAGGATGGGAGTGCCCATCTACCAGCAGCCTGCTCAAATCCATTTTCTTACAGCTCTCACCGTGGGAAACAGACTTATCCGCTTATTGATTTGGGCCATTTGGGATTAATTTAGCTGAATCTCTCTGCAGCCTTTGGAGACAGAACAGAATATACAGGTTTGATCGACTGCCTGAAGACTCTTTCCCA